CCAGTTTTCAATCGAAGACTCCAATTTTTAGAATCAAACTCCAATTCTGCGGCTGACGGGAAAAATCTCCGGTTTTTCGTTCGCGTGGGGCATTCACTAATTTTACTATCTAGCGACCTGTGGAATATTAAGTTATGTGAAAAGTACAATATAATAATATGATAAAAGAATATTTGTTTTAATAATAAGATAGTCTGTGATTACTTTATGTTTGCACTTTATGTTGTAATGATATAAGAAAATACGTGTATCTGTAATTGTGTTCGCACTATGTTGGTTTAATAATAAAAAGAAAATGTGCAACAATGATCGTAATGTACGAATGAATTCCTGTGCATTTTGTTTGTAAAGTAATTTTTTTGAAAAGCAATTGACCGGCCTCCGGTTGAAATAGCAAATTTCCAGTATACACAGGGCGACATTATGGACTATATGGACTATATGGAGTATTCCATACATTGAATTTTACACATGATACGTATATTTAGTCGGGGTCCAGGCTTCTACCACGATCGAACAAGCTATATCTTCCAACTTACCTACCTATTACACACTGAACGCGATAAACGACCGGGTGACATCCAATAAAAGCTCTACGTTCACTTGAAGGATGGAGTGCAATTTTTACAAGACACGAGATTATCCTAATCAGGAATCTTGATACCTGAATACACAAGATTCGCGTACTTTTAACGATTCCTACATCAACTTGTTCGAATGAAAGATTCTCTTGTTTAAGACATTTGAAAAAATTATCTTCGATAGATAATAAAACAAAACCGTTTAAAGTTTAAATCGTATTGCGATGTCGTATATTCATCGCGAAATTGTCGATAATTTAAATATTTGAGAAGTTCATTAATGATTTTATTTAAACAAAAATCAGCGTAGCTACTTTACGGTATAAATAAAAGGTATATATGAGGAAGTATATTATTTATCCCTCTTTCCTCCCTCTCAACCTAGCCTCAGGAACTCCATACGCATTGAAAAATTTTACTTCACCGCTCCTAAACACACGGGCTTTCGAGCCCCAGCTGAACAGCGCTCGGGACCTGGCAACCATGGTAACAATCCTGATCCGGCATATTGCATTATTGGCTGCGCTCCAAATTTACAGCTAGCGCTCAAATTCTACAGTTTACGTTACATGCACCATACAGATTTTCAGTACAGCAGCAGTCTGCAGTTTTGGAGCACAGCCATTGTGTCACGATCCCGCGAGTCAGTATCATAACAGTCAGTTTTGGAACATTCAACACGAACAGCGCCTATTTCGCAGTCATCGACCGATTCGTGTTTACATCTCTACAATGAAGGCGCTGGAGCGTCTCGTGTGCTCATTGGACAACGGAGAGCTTTCAACCCGTTTATAGGGGTTATTTTTCTTAGCCGTTGAAAAACGGATTGCCTAGAAGACCGAACTCTTTTTCTCTAATACGAAATAAATGTCCGCGGTCGAGATTTTTGCGGCAAGGATTTGAATATACGATTATAAATATGTACGTCTGTCGACAATCAATGGCTGCGTTCAGCAGAGGGAACAGCTTTTTAGAATTGTTGTAAAATTCTTTTATTTGATCGCTGTATACATGTAGAATTTAAATCCAGTAAGGTCAATCATATCGACTGTTTTCAAGACACAGAAAAAGCTTTACTATTGTTGCAAGGATTCTTTAACATGATTGGGGTTCTTACTCTTAATTCTTCATTGGATCTAAATGTCCCAGGTAGCGCACGATATTCCAAGGATAATTTTGAGGATATTCTGAAAAAAGTATAAGATATATATACTCAGGATGTTCCTATACACGTCCATTCGTTTCTTGCTTGAGAGCGATATTCGAAATATCCTCAAAATATCCTCAGAATATCATGTATATTATATCTAGGACATCTACAAGATCCAATTGAGAGAAAGCAATGATATTAATGAACATCTTACGACAGCTATATTGCCGCCAAGCTATTTTTCCCGCTGAATGCTGAACGCACTCAATTATTAATTATAATCCGATGGCGTCGCATCGATCGGTTTTCCAAACGATCCCGCCTCGCGTTGCACGTATAAAGTCGGTCGTCAGATTATTCCTGCACAAGTAACCTGTTGCCAGACGCGACACATCTACGTGCAAATAACACACCGGGCGAAAACGGTACGTGGCCAGGCCGTCCGCGCGCGATCGATGATAAACTTATGCGAGCTGCTGCTGCTGTTGCTGTTTCTCAGCCGACTCGGCGGAGCGGGAGCGCTAAATGACGATGTTGACACGATTGAAGATCTGGACGGGGGAGCAAATTTGCGTGATTCTCCTCGGATGATGAACGAACGTTTGATGGAAACTAGGAGTAGATCTCGTCGCGGAAAGGAGTTGTTGCGCTCTGCTGACGAAAACAAGGAACGCCATACGGAGACTTAAAATACCGCGGCTACAGAAGGGTACCGAACTGTCCATTCGCGATCTACGTTCGTCTTTCGGAAATGGAATTTCGCGATGGATGCGACGCGAAAGCTTGGGTCGCTATATGTACATACAATTCGGACCGCGAGTCTCCTATGCGTTTTCGAACGAAGACCGCATATACCAGAGTGTACCCTCATTTCGCGGCGCGAATATTAACGTAGAGATACTCGATTTAAAGTATACACTTTCTCCGCGTCTAGTCGCTCGCGAAGAAAAGACGAGTCTCCCCTCGCGTGCGCGTCGTATGCGCTGCTCTGCGTGTTTCGAACACGGAGCCGACGGATGAAAATAAATAAAGGGGGAAAAAAAAAAAGACTTCAGCAAGAAGCTAATTGCGCGGACCATAACAAAAGTCTCCTCTTGCGAGCCGAGCGAAAGCAGTGTGTATATAGTTGTGCGAATAACAAATTACCTGCAGACTGTCGGTGAACCTCAGCTCTCTCTTCCGCGAAGAAAACGGGCGAGTCCGTCCGCACGCCGATAACACCTCACGCCATGAACTTCCCTCCCGATGACGAAGCGCGCCTCCCTCTCGATTTAGAAAATTGCCACCGATCGCTGCGGACTACCCGCCGCTCCTCTTCTCTCTTCCTTTCCTCGCGAAAAGACCTCGCGGAAATTGTTACATCCTCTAATGGAAAATCGCGCTCTTCCCTTAACGTCGCCAAATCGACGGCGGCGGCGATCGCAGCAGCTACCCTCTCGTTTCTCCCTTCCTCAAGATGTAAATTTTTCACGCGCGTACCCGTCTTTCTGCCGCGAAAGACCGTGGACGAGTAAAGGCTGATGGTAAAGGCCACCTCTATGTTGTGCTAAATACGAACGTGCGCGAAACTGGAGGACACGCCTCTGCGAGGTATGGCGCAGACTCAGTTTCCGCACTCTGCAGGACGGCGAGTTTGTCGGAAGCCAACGGAAGCTGGCCAGGGGCCTTTGACTCCGGCGAAAACTATACTCGATATACGCAAGTCAAGTCATCCGGCAGCGACGGTTCAGCATGTCACTGTATTGTAAAGCAACATCACGGATATTCGTAACGAAGAAAAACTTATGCGGGGTCTACAATTGAAGTCGTAGCGATCGTAGAGTCTTAAGTCGTAGAAAATTGACCAATCACAGTCGAATATGAGGAGAATATTCGATTATGATTGGTCAATTTACTACGACTTAACACCCTACGATCGCTACGACCTACGACTTCTATCGTAGACCCCATATAAGCCTTTTGCCCGGATCTACAATAGAGTTTTAAGCCTTAAGCCATAAGGCATGGACGAATCATAGTCGATTATTCTCCTCGAATTCGACTGTAATTGATTAATTTCTTACAGCTTAGGGCTTAAAACACGTATTGTAGATCCGGGGTCTACAATAAGCCATTACCTAAGTTTTAAGTATTAAGTCATAAGAAATTGACCACTCACACTCGATTATTCTTCTCACATTCGATTGTGATTGGTAAATTTTTTATGATTTAACATTGAAAATTTAAGTAATGACTTATTGTAGAAGGCCCATTATCGTAGACCCCATACAGTTCTGAACGATCGATCGTAAGATCTCTTCTAGCCTGTTCTACAATAGTCGTAAGAGATTGGCCAATCATGGTTAAATATGAAAAAAATATTCGACTATAATTGCTTAATTTCTTATGGCTTACGGTTTGCGATCCTATTGTAGAACAAGCTTTAAAGGGATATTGGAATCGCTTGCGTATTATCAATAAAGCTAGTGTTTTTGATGTTTTTGTTCCTGTCTAATTTCTTTGTAGTAGTTTTACAGAATAAAAATTCCTTTTTCACAATTAAACTATACATGCTAATGTATTCGCCATTGATGTATCTCCAAAACTAGAAAAAATTTAAAAAAATTAAATTTCTCTACCCATTTTTACCTTCATCATTGATCGCCATATCGAAGTAAAATGGATAAAGAAAGTCTGTAATTTCTTTTTTCTAATTTTAGATGCGAAATACATCATCGACGATTAACATACATATTTTAATCGTGGAAAAGGAATTTTTATTCCGTAAAACAGCTACGAAGAAACTGGACAGGAACCCCTTAAAATTACAACAATAAACCGATGTAGCCAGAAATATGTGCCGACCGCATGTCTCATACGATGCAACGATTCGAACAGATGATGTACAGACGGCAGCTTTCCAATATCATTAAAGACTTCCTAATCACAGTACAGTGTCCGACCATAGCAAGAAATCTGACATTTTTTTTTTCAAAATTGTAAGAGTGAGAAAAAATGTTTCATTTTATTCTACGAAAAAGAAAAAAATGTTTTATTTCGTTTTGCGTGAAACGGAGAAGGTATATTCGAAAATATCTTGCTTTAACTACAAAACGAATTTGATGAAAAAATATCGGACCAATCATAGATCGCTATCTGATAACCAGACTAATCAAAGTTTCTAATCATTACAGTACACAATTTAAAAAGAAAGCGTTCTTTATTATAGAGAAAATTATTCTAGTAATTAATCGACAATAAAATCAATTTATTGCTTATATATTTCGTTCCTATATAATAAATCTCCGTTTTAGCTTCAATAAATTGAAAATAGGAAGCGATATATGTTGGATATACACGTATCACAGATAAGTATCATGTCTCAGTCAAGATATGTAACGGTATAATATAAAATAAATTTGTCAGAAAATCCAGGCACTAGTACGCTTCTTCTTGAAGGCAGGAGTAGCTAATACGAAGCGTTCCAGATAACATAATTATCGTACTCCGCGTGCGTATTTTGTTTTTTAATAGTAAAATTGTGGGTCGTTCAATCAACGTCGTAAGGCACTCCATCTCATCGCCACGGCTTCCGTACGGCTCCCGTGCTCGTGCTTCTCCTGATACCTTGATCTGCAATTCAAGACTACATTCTAGTACATTCATTACGAAAAATTAAGCGTACGACAAAAGCGGATGTAAAAAGCTTACGCAATGTATTCGGTGACATAAGTTTGTCTCTTATATCTGAAGTCCACGTTTGACATCTGGACCTAACTAGATTCCTTTTAACGGCCAACGGTCGCTGGTACTTGGCCATTCTAAACAACAATATAATCTTAATAGTAAGTGCAAAATTGACCGATAAGTGGAGATCACAGATAAGCGAAAAAGTAAAGATTTTATTCGAACAAAGCGGATCTTGGTGTCTAATAATATTTTGCATTCATAGTCTTAATAGTTATATTAATAGTTATACAAGACGGACGGAATTCTACAATATGTAAAGCAGCGTCTACAATAAGATTTTAAAAGCGTAAAACTTAAGCTTTAAACTTTAAGCCGTAAAAAATTAACCAGTCATAGCTGATTGTTTTTTTACATATTCGACGGTGAATGATAAATTTTTTACAACTTAAAGCTTAAAGCTTAAGTTGTACCTCTTAAGATCTCATTGTAGATGCTGCTTAACAATGAGAAAAGGAATATTTGTTTATGCGTTTTAAATTTTCCACTTTTCGTGATATTTTGAACATTTTAATAGCTGATTATCATTTGACTTATTTTACCAACTTTTTTTTATATACTTATTATTTTTATACTCATTACTTTTCTTCACGACGCATTTTATTTATTTGCTCCCCCCTCCCAATTTTGATTTTTTGTTCTCTATTCAACCTAGTAAGTGAAAGTGTTTTTCAATTAATTTACATATATATACAAAGTAAAAGATATTTTGTATTCATTAGATATCCAACCGATTCTTGTTAAAATTTTTTATTTTTAACACATCTGAATGCTAATTTAACGTATAATGTAATTGTGTTAAATGAACATATATTGTGTTAAATTGATATTCAATATCTCTTTAATAGTATTAGTATTAAAATAACATAATTTATGAGTAAATAGGCAAATAATATAAAACTTGTATATTGTATTTAAAAACGTAAATTCTAAGATAAATGAATAAAATGTATTAATTTAACATATAAATGTTAATTTTACTGAAAAATATGTTTTCATAATTTACATATAAATTGTGTTAGATTTGTTGTATATTAATTTTTTACATAAAATTTGTGTTACACTTCTCAATAATATATTCATTTTATGTTAAATTAACATATAGATTTAGGTTGACCGTTTTATGTATTATATATAATATGTATTAAATTTAATACAAATGTTCTTACTGTGTACCTATTTTATAAAATTTTTGTGTCGTTTTTAGGTTGTTGTGCTAGTCCAGAGATCACTCAAGCGACTGAGATACTGTAATCAAATTATAAGATCCAAGATCAATCGTGTCATGTACCCTGGAGAATATGAGACTATTTTTACCTTTTAACACTGAAGATGATTCGAAATTGAGTTCAAACATATGTATCTTAAATAAGTGTTGGTAATTTATTTTACGCACCGAGATCCGCATCTGACTCTTATCAGCCCTCATATCGAATTTTTTTTTAAAGGAAACTACGTTATTACGTGGACTCGAATTCCTTCAGATTCTTTCTGGCTAAAGTCTTCTGAGTGGCAAACGAATACGATCGAACCGAAGTCGGACGTTCCGTTCTAAACTCCTTAATTTCGCGATCATGCGCGATTATCTCCATTCTCTTCGTCGGGGACTGGGCGAATAATTCTACTATATTCATGGAAGCTGCGTCGCACTTGAAAACAATGAAAACATTAAATCGTTAAATTACAATATTACGTGCTGCCGACTAAAAGTCTGTAAATATAAACGATGAAATAACCCAGATAGACAAACATGTTAAGTACGTAACATGCTATATTAATAGCACTGTTATCGATATATTGAAATAAGTAGCATATTGCTGCAATTCTTACAGCATCAAATATACTGAAAACATTCATGTCATGTAAGGTAATATCTAAATAATCAGTATATTGCTACCTTTTTACATTAGAATAATTCTTTTACGCCAGAAACATTCATATAACATAAAAATATTTTCAATTATTTCCAATTTTCAAATTTTATCATTATGCACACAATATGTAAAATTTGTCTATCTAAAAATTTTATAAGCAAAAAAACGAGTAATTACCTGTAACTGAAGACGATGAAGAAATTCCACTTCTGCTAAGTTTAAGGGCGCATCAACGTGTAACTTAAGCATACATTGCAAAGCTTCCTTATATATCTTTTTCAATGTAATAACGCGTTCGGTACGCATTAATCTGCGCACTAAGTAACCACGTGTGTAAGCATTGATGATATTCACCGCCTGTACCTATATGGTAATATATATATATATATATATATATATATATAATTTTACTATCTTTTTTTAACATTGGAAATATTAGGATATAACATTAAAATTGCAATTTGTACTCACATGTTTATCGAAATATACTGTGATGTTTAGCCATGGTACATGTGTAGTATTACTATCTAAGGGAAATAATTGTCGACTCACATTGGAATTCTTACATACAAGATCACGCGACTTGCAATGGTTATTATCATCATTATTACCATTATTGTTGTTATTATTATTATTGTTGTTACTATTATTATTATATGTGGTATCATATAAACTCACTTTTCTCGTAAAGTCAAAATCGAGAGTCGCAGAAGAATTGTCTACAATAAAGGATTGTTTTTTAAGCAGGTGCAAATTTTTCGAGGAAAGGTAATCCAACGGACATGCAATCATTTGATTCGCTGATGATAATTTAATATTATCATGTGTTTCAGCATGTAAATTACTGGGAGAGTTTATGTTCATTTGTTGCCTTGCTTCATGATTAGTTGATCTTACTTCGTCGCTCAACGATTGATTTAATGCATTTGTTTGTTGTGATATATCGGAGGAACAATTTTCTAATTCTGCTAAAAAGAGTATTTGTTGTTTCTTGAATTTCGCTTGTAGTAGCAATTGTTCCTTTCGCTGACGATCCATCAACTCCAGCATCTGCTTCCTGTGCATTTCTTCGATCTCTTTGTAAACTGACAGGAGTTTAACTGGTGTGGAAGACTTTATTTTAATGGATGAATTATGATATTCTGTAGTATTCTTCTTTTCATTATGCTGTTTCTCATCTACATAAGACTGAATTTTAGGACTACTATCTCCTGCATACTCGCTGCTCAACAAATTTAATACACTAGTGTCACTATTTTTCTCTGAATTTTCTAAAGAACTTTGCTTCTTAAAATCTATATTAGGTCTATGATTATGTTTAGTTGGTATGGCATCAGATCTATATGCATCTTCCTCAGTGATTACCATTTTAGTACAACTAGCAGATTTATCTGCTTGATGTGATTCTGTTAAATCATCAGATTCTCTACACTGAGAAGTTGATTGTTTTGGTGTACATTCTAATTTGCTTAAATCTTCAATATGTTCTACCATAAACTGCTTACTTTTCCATTCTTCCTTAGGCTGAGAAGATAACTGTTTCGGTATACATTCTAATTTGCTTAAATCTTCAATGTGTTCTACCATAAACTGTTTATTTTCCCACTCTGCCTTAGGTTGCACTATATTCCATTGTTTTCGTTGTGATGCATTAGTGGTAGGTGTAGGGATATACTCGTCAGTTAATTTTGTATGCATGTGAGCAAGCAATATAGGGCTGGGTGTATCTAATATGTAAGAACTTTGACGTGATAACTTAGGTGGATTTTCAGGAGTCTCCTTGGAAATCCCTACAGAAGAAGAAGTATCTTCTTCATCATTACTTAATGTTATTGGAACTACGTTCAATGTTCTAGGAACCTCCGGTTTCCAATTTTCTACCAACGTTACATCTTTGTTTGGTGATGCCATCTGTGTTATATCGACCCTATTTTGATCATTTACAGCAGCTGTAAGTTTCAAATTGTTAGCAATATCGTTTGTTAAGTAAACTTGGGATTGTAAATGCTGTTCATCAGAAATAGAGGACTTGATATCATGATTATCTCTGGTTTCTTCTTCAACTTGCAGCATTGGTTCGATAATAGTCATTTTGGAATATGAGTCTGTATTATTGGTATCACTTGCAATATCACGAGTGGATATATCACTGTCTGAACTGTATCTTATATTCATTGACTTATCTATTGGTTCTAGTATGACAGCTTGCATGCATTTATCTTGAATGGTGTGTTTAACAAGTCGTCTGTCCCTCAAGTTTTCCTCCACTTTGATTGCCATTGATTTGTAATGTCTCATTTCTTCTTTGATGGTATCAGTTATCTGAAAATAGTACGATATATTAATAAGTATCAGTTATTTTTATTTGTAATGACATATTAATATGATATATACATATAATGATATAACAATACGATATATTAATAAGTAAAATGCTTAACAACTGTCGAGGTTACGAAACTGCGTGAGTTAACGAATATTCACCATCGGTGGAAGAAGGGGTATCCCGTTTATTTTCATACAAGAGGTATAAAATTGTTTCTGCATGTTTTCGGTGCGATCTTGAAAATAAACTTTGCCGTAACCTACTAATGTTCCTGGAAGAAAATAATTTAATCGTCGCTAATTCTCACTCTACTTCTATACAATTGCTAACTTTTCAAATTTTCACGCGAAACTTTGTTGTCTGATAGTACGTTGAACGTACTTTCACCAGAGAGAAGCCTGAGAGCGGCCATCTTCTTCTTTGTATTCTTATTGGCCATGTAGCCGCTCCAACGGCAATCGTCAAGGCCAGTAACAAAAGTCGTAATGTGTAAACGAAACAAAGTCGTAATATGTAAACGAAGAATGATGCAATGCCCGCGAAAAATGGCGAAGCCCGAACGAACACAGGGCGCCTGCGATTGCAACGTCGTCACGCCACTCTAACGCGCGTCCGGACGGACGAACGGGCCGAACCAAACGCGGACACACATCAGTAAGGAAATTCGAGGCACGGTCAAAGTCGGCAACACTTTCTCAAAAATATACAAAAAACGAACACCCGAACCGAAACGCGTCCGCACCGGTCGGGTGGTTCAACGAAACTTGAGAGCGGCCATGCCCAGGATTTAGCTGTTACTTTATTTTGAAGCGCCACAAAACGTGGACATTGAACTATGTAGCTAATGTCTACGATCGTGTCGGTAATGTCTACGAATTTTTGGTTCGAGTCTTCGCCAGGCTTCTCTCTGTTAGCACAGACGCGCATCACATTTTTATTTTACACTATGATTTTATCGACAGTTTCGCCACGCAGAATGGATATCTAGTTCCCATATAACAAAAATGAACGCTAGTATATCGATTGATTGTCTGTCTTTTTTGTCTGTCTAACGGACCGATAATCGATGGACATAGGGAAGATTCGAAGTTCGTTCGAACCACAAATCCACACAAATCGTCCATTGTCCATTTTCGAGTTCCGAAAATTACGTATTTAACTGCTTGATAACTTCTCATTTTGTAAAAATTTACGAGGAACAGAATCAATTATCGTGGGTGTACATTTTTGTACATAACAAAACTTTCAGTTGTCTAGGCTGCGGCCCACTTGCTTCTTCCAATTGCTCTGAACACTACGCTTTAAAGTTTAAACGCTATGGTTGGGTTGATCCATTATTGTCCCGAATGCTTACATACAGTTGCTACGTAAACGCTCCAGCCAACCCACGCCACCCCCCGAGATGAGACAACCGGAGTAAAAACGATGACGTATTGATGATGTATCAGAGTTGCTGGAAGCATTTCGAATCGTCAAATGGACCAGTGCTATAAATGCTCTGTAGCGTTTGAAGCGCTAAGTGAACCGCAGCCCTAATATGATTGATGTAGACATAGATATGTTTTATATTATACCACCAAATGGCGAGATACCGCTTTATATCTTGGAAGATAGTATTTTGACTAGATTAGATTATTTGAGGCTCTTAAGTGAAGGATCTACTAATGAATTTGATGGGAAATCTGAGTATTTATTAGAAAATTCTACCTATGATAAAATTGGACATTTTGTATTACGGTAAGTATATGTTAGAATATTATATAATTATTTTTTATTTAATAATTAAATATAATTTATACATTTCAAGAATGAGTAATATATAATTTAAAAAATTTCAAGTACCTAAAATAAAGGAATTAAACACAGACAGAATTAGAAAAATCTGAATTTCCAATTAACTAACAATTGTTGTTTTTTATTTCAGATTATTAGCTTCTACATCGTCGGATTTGTGTATTTATTGGATTGACAAGGAATCATTATTATTTATACATAGATTAGATAGTCTATCACCTAGACGATTACATAAATTATTAAAGCAAATTATATGGAAATTACAAATATTTAAAGATAAGAAAAATGCAATTGACACAACTCTGATTGATTTATGCAAATTTTATTTGCAACCCTTAGTTTTTAAACATCTGATATCAAACTGTCACAATTGCAATAATTTTCGATTTGAAAGTACGAATGTAGAAAATTACTTGTATATAAGAAAGATTTCCAAACAAACTATGATATAATAATATTTCTTATTTTATATTGCAGTGAGATTTGAAATAGTACCAGACTTGGTGAAAGAAAGAGAACTAGTCTTTAATAATGGAAATATTGTCACATACTGTTCAAATTGGAAAAGAGTACTTCAATCATTATTTAGTAATTATATAATTACTGAAATGAATATCATGAAGAGGCAGTCGCAACATATTATAAAACATGATCTTAGATTCCACATTTTAAATCAGAAAATTCAATCCTATCTCTTCAACAAAAATATTGCTCATGGAAAAGTAACTATTGATAACATAGAGGCAGAAACACAGAAATTTCCATTATGTATGCAACATTTGCATTCTCTATTAAGAAGAAGACATCGTCTCAGTCACTATGCGCGTTTATACTACAGCCTTTTTCTAAAAGAAATAGGAATGACTCTAGAAGACGCAATTGTATTTTGGAAGCAAGAATATTCTAAACCACACACTTGTACTTCAGTATGTTCACACAATTGGCAATCCAATGAAAAAAAATTCATATATAGCATCAGACACATGTATGGTTTAGAAGGATCGCGAAGAACTTACAAGACACCTGACTGCAATCTCATTTGTGTAAGTAAATCAAAATTTCACACATGCACACAAAAATTCTTTTTCTAATCTATATATATGTATGTATATATATATACATAAAGTTTATAATTAGAATTTACTTTTTCAAATATTGAATTATTGTAGGTTGGTATTAGTGGAGCAACATATGAGGGTGGTTGTCCTTTCAAGGATTTTGATAAGAGTACACTCAGAAATCTTTTACATGCTTCGTTAACTAAGGATGAAATTGAAAAATTTATAAATAACGTATCTGCTAAAGATCCAGAAGTTCTTTGCACTGCATTTCTGAAACTCGTACGCAAAGATGATATTAACGATGTTATTATCAAGAGTCCAATACAATACTATCAAAGAATGATTGGTTAATATCAATTCCAACTTCGTAACGAAAAATTTATACAATTAATTTATTCTTGGCCTTTATTCATGCCAGTATTTTTTGTTATTCAATTCAAGATCTCACCAACAAATATTTCGTAAATATTGCAAAACAGTCATAAAGATAAATAAATTATATTAATATTTACACAATTATTTATTACTAAATGATTGCAGAGCATCTTCTACAATACGATGACTTATACCACCTCTAACTAATACAGCATGTACTCCAAGTTTACCAACTTCTATGATATTTCTATCCTCATCGTCAAAAAATATCATATCTTTATAATCAGTATGAGAACTCTTTTGAATGCTGAAAGCAATGCAATTAAATTATAACTTTAAACTACTGTACAACCTGATTCTTTATAAGTATTGTACAAGACTTACTTAGAAAAATGTACGACTTTGCTACCGGGAAATATTTCAATATATTTGAAATACTTCTTCCAATCATAGAGACCTATTAATTGTTTAGCTCCCTTTATTTCTGATGTACGTGACGCTATACCGAGTTCATATCCTTCTTCTGATAATTGTTTCAATACATCAGAAACGTCAGAATAGTAATTTACATTACGACCAAGTGCATCTACTACTTTATTTTGTGCTCTAAAATTTTTCTTCTTTAAGTTAGACAAACATTCTTAAAATACTACATTATCTTATCAATTTTTAATGCACGCACCCTTTCTTAAATGGTGGATCTACATGAGTGTCTACCCAAAACGGCCATAAGGTATAATCTGAAAAAAATTTAATATCCTTTCCATTTCTCCAGAAATCACATTCTTAATAACGATTTTGTCTAGGTATACCTAAATCAAAAACGATAACTTTCGGTTTTTTCTCCATTTGTTTCCTAACTGAATTTTGGTTATGATCAATATAACAAAACACTGTCACTAATATACGTAATTATTACTTCTTTTTTATAGAGAGATAAATAAAGTTACAAATCTCTCACACATGGTGAACATAACCTAACCTAACTTAACTTTAGACCCGTGCGTCGTTTTATTTTATATCGGCGACGGCGTACGGCGAAAATTTCAAAATTGGCGATGACGGAATCGGCGGACGATAATTTATCGGCGGCTACGGCGCGTAGAATCAGAGCAGAGAGAAACCTGAGAGCGGCCATGGAGGCCTTTTTCTCGTAATGCTTCAACTCCTCGTACACTAGCGGCACCAAAGTCCATTTTCGAGCTGCGGGAACTACGACCACGTTCATTTTCGTGACCCGCGGTCTCGCCGATAAAATCGTATCGTCGAAAGTGGACGTGGTTCGGGTCCGTGTTAAATCAGATAAAAAATATTAGCTCAGTATGAGTGAGCGCAACAGCACGATACGTCCGTTCTTTTCTCATACGGCAACCTTTGACGCATCGAGAGAGAGCGAGAAAGCGAGACGCTACGTCACGAAGTCACGATCGTCCCGTCCTTCTCGCTCGGTCGCTTGTTTCGAGCGACTAAAAATGTTTTCTCAGCGATCTCCGCCGCTCGGCGCGTATATATACCGAGTGGGGCAATAACTTTGTCTACCTTAAATATCTCCGCTATTTTCAGAGATATGAAAATATTGTCATTACAAAAGTGGTAGGGCATCAAGAGAACTATGACATATGCTAGTCATAATTTTTCTAGGTCGAGGCGTTTCGGAGATTTCGAGGTCAACTTCATTTTTTTAAATGGAATTAAATGAAATTTGCATTTAGGGGTGCCGACATCTCAGAGCTACTCTGTGAAGTCGACACCCCTAAATGAGAATTTTGATAAAATCATTGTTGCATTCGTTTGTCCACCGTTTGTCCACGTATGTCCACCCATTATTTTCGTTTGTACCCTCTATTTTTATTATATTTTTCATAATAATGAAAATAATCACTTGGAGGTGTTACAATTTTTTTGTGTATAACTTTTTTTGGAGGGTGGACAAATGAAAATAATGGGTGGACAAACGTGGACAAACAGTGGACAAACGAATGCAACAATGATTTTATCAAAATTCGCATTTAGAGGTGACGACATCTCGGAGCTGCTCTGTGAAGTCGACACCCCTAAATGCGAATTTTGATAAAATCATTGTTGCATTCGTTTGTCCACCGTTTGTCCACGTATGTCCACCCATTATTTTCGTTTGTACCCTCTATTTTTATAATATTTTTCATAATAATGAAAAATAATCAATTGGGGGTGTTACAATTTTTTTGGGTATAACTTTTTTTGGAGGGTGGACTAGTATAACAGTAATATACTAGTTTATATTAAAATGCCAATCTGTTATATTAAAAATTGTAAGAGTAGAACCGGTCGTAGTAACAAAGAAAATGTATCGTTGTATTATTTTCCTTATTTCATTTCTGAAACTTTTAAACAGCGCGCGCTGCAGAAAAGCTCAAACCCTGATTGGTCAAGATCTCAAATCTCCGCCATTATGCGCAATGGTTCACCTTTCTACTTACACCATGTATGGAGCCTTCCATTCTTCTTCTCCCTATTCATTGATGCCTGACGTATGTACAACATGATCAATATGGCAGTTTTGTATTTCGTGGTATTTCATACTTCGCATGCGATGTAGGGGTTGAGTGAGTTTGAGGTGATTGTATACGTCGTGGAAAAACAGTATGATTCTCCTGTGAGTGAATTGTCACGGCGAGTAAGCGTCCTACTAATAGTGAAATTGCACGAAGAGTAAGACTCGCTAGGATTCATCGCGTTAAACAAAGATCTTGCAAAAGTTCTTACGATATTAATACTGTAAAAGAAATCGACGTACGTTTGATATTGTTTTTAAACTATTCTCAAGATTTGTTCACTATTTTCCATACGTAGAATATATACAGATTTTTTACTATTACATTTTGTAAAGCCAGAGCTCCAAAAATATTTACTTATTTTCGAGCTAAAATAACTGACTTTGTAATTTTTGTGGATTTTATAAGTTATATTTGAAAATAGGAACGATAAATTATTATAATGATTTAATTTATAAGATTTGTAAGCATTTGTTATTCTCTTAGAATAAATTAAATTTAATTATTTGATAACTTATTGTCTGTAACTTTAAAAATCTTTTTTTGAAACTAAATTAGTATGCACTTATATTAGAAATTGAATCAATTGTCTTGAGGAAGTACTATCACAACTATGTTATTTTGCATTAATTAGTCATTAGATTTAAACCATGGATAGAATGATGCAATAGCTTTGATGATACATTCCTTGAATATGGTCACATATTTTAAGTTTAATGAAAATGGAAAGTTTTTGCTATATCTAGTACAATAACAAAAAATGAGCTAGTAAAAGATTTAAGTATAATGAGCACATGTGATATAAAGCTTTAATTTCTAATTAGTTATTTCTGCTTATACATATATATTTTTTTTTAATTATAATTTTGTATATATATATATTTTATATATTTATACATGTGTAACTTGGCGTTTGCTGGGAAGTAACTCGTTACTTTTGACGAAGTTATGCTATCTTGAAATTTGCCTATTTTTACAGGTATTGCTTTAATTTTGTTGGCTAGTGTAGATAAATAACTAATAATTAATTTACTAGTTACACTTTATATACTTCAAATTTATTTGTCAATTTAGTATGCAATTTACTTGGTACTGCAAATGCTTTAAATTATTTGTGTCAATCAAGTCAGTCATAACATATGTGATTGATTATGACTGCGTTTATATTCACTGCTAGTGCTGAAACTAATATTGAGCCCTTATTCTTGAAAAGAAACATATGGTATACATAAAACTAGAAAATGTAAAGTTCCTCAGTTAATGAAAAATTTAATGATCAAGACAATTTTCTTCATTTTAAGCATCAAACAAAAGAAATCAAATTTTTACATGTAGAATTGTACCGATGTTGGCTAGTGTGAAGTTAGCCCCTAAAAATTATTTTTTAAGTAACTTAAACTAAAAAAACAAGATATTCAAAAGGTTCAGTTAAATAAATCAAAAGAAACAAACAAGATGCCAATATGAGCCAACACAAGTTATCAATATGTACTTTTTATACAATTTGTTCGAAATGAATAATAAAGCGTATATACGTTTCGTTATACGGTTAAGGTTCTTTTCAGTACATATTTAAATTAATATAAAAATAACATTTAAAAATAAAATAAATTACATTTATGATGATAACGCATGCAAACTATACATTATTAAAGTGTGAGATAAAAAATACTAAGATGGTAATGTCCAAATTAAAGTCAAATCTTGTTCATCAAATTGTTAAGTTTACTAAAAATATTTAAGAAAAAGAAACGAAAGTTAGAAGTTATTTTTAATTTTTATCGTAAATTTTTTCCCTAAATAAAAATATGAAATTAGCTTACATGATTGTCAAAATTAAACAATTTTTTGTATAGTTGTACAGGGTTCCATTAGATTGCTCAGTTTACTGTGTAGGTAAAATTTGAATAAATTAATGTAAAGTTTTAATAATTGTGGTATCAGAATTTAAATCATATAAAATTTAAATGAAAGTTATTAGACACGACATAACTGTTTGGCGATGTGAAATAAGGTTACGAAAAGCAGTAAGAAACAGAACATATACCCCAACGACAATATGTATGAATAAATAATAAAATTTTATTATATATTATTTATGTGGCTCAAATTGGCATTTTGTTTGTTTCTTTTGATTTTTTTAAACTAAAGGTGTGCAAACGAAAATTCACAATGTGTAGAAATGTGCAAACGATAAACAAAATCGAATGAGCTATATAAACTTTATTTTTCTTAATGTTGAGGCTAACTTCACGACGGTTGTAACGATAACTAATTACTTTTTAATAGAAAAAAATATAACTAATTACTTTTACAAAGTAACTTCCTATTCTATTTATTATCAAATATTAACTGTATCTATTATTTTTGCAGTTAAAAATGGTGAAGTTATATGCACTGACTGTTCTATGTAAAAGTCCTCCGTCGGCAACGACGCTGAAAGCTGCTTATGATGTAGAGTCGTTCTCATTTTTTCAAAAGAATAGTATTAAAGAATTTATGTGTTTTGTTAGTAAAACCATTGTAGAAAGAACACAGACATGTGCCAGGCAAAGTGTCAAAGAAGGAGGTATTATAGTTATAATTCTAAATAAACTTTTTGTATTAAAATATAAGCAAACAATATTATTATGTTTAATCTTCCATGTATTTGATCCTAGAATACATGTGTCATGTGTATGTACGAGCTGACAATCTCGCGGCAGTTCTCATCTCGGATCATGAATATCCTAGGAGAGTAGCACATACCCTAATCACGAAAGTGATGGAAGAGTTTACAGCAAAATATCCACCATCGACATGGTCCTCACTCAGAGAAATCACTGCAGATTTTCCACAGATCAATACGTATCTAGCAAAGTATCAGAATCCAGTTGAGGCGGATGCGCTCACGAAAATGCAGAATGATCTAGATGAAACCAAAATTATTTTGGTAAGAATCAATACTTATATTGTTTCTCTTTTATTTCCTGAGGAATTTATAAGGGACGATTTATTGGAATATCTGTTCACATACACACATACACATACTGGGTGAGGCATCTAAAACAGACCATCTAAATAACTTGTTTTGATGATATGAAAAAATGTTTTAAATGAAAGTGGAATGATTTCGAGAGAGATATGTTTTGGTCATGTTGTTTTTTGTCTTTATGGAGACATTAAAAAGATATTAAAGTCATTTCCACTTTTTTAAATGGATTATTATACACGACTTTTTAAACATAATATGATTTCTTTAACAATTCTCCATATAAAAGTATAGAGGTACAGATATAAAAAAACTAATAGTTTACGAGATTTTATATTTTATGTCAACATATATGTCAGAATAAAGTATAAAATATTTCATAAATTATTGGTTTTTAAAATGGTTTTTTAGTATCTATATCTTCATACTTTTATATGCAGAATTTTGTTAAAGGACTCATACTGTATAAAAAAAGTTATGTAATTCCATTTTAAAAAGTAGAGGCGATCTTTATATCTTTTTAGTGCCTCCATCTAAACAAAAAACAACATGATCAAACCACGTCCCTCTCGAAACTGTTTTAGTTTTATCTGAAACATTTTTTCGTATCATCAAAAACAAGCGATTATTCAAGTGGCTTGTTTTTAGATGCTTCACCCTGTACATACAAGTAAAGATAGAATTGAGTATTTTACGTGTATGTCCAATTCTATTATTAGTGTAATTTCGAACTCTCTTTAATTATTTCGAAAAAATAAAATAGTACTTTCAAGTAGACTTAAATTTGGGTACAAATTATAAAACTAATTAGAATGGATTTTGGTCGGAATTATTCCGTTTTTTCTAGAAAAACAATAGAAATTTAGGAAATAAATGAATAATTCCAGTCGGAGCCCGTTTCGAATAATTTTATAATACGTGCTTTGGCCGAAATAAGTTTGAATCCTCTGTGAGTATCTCGAAAAACAAGACTATTACTTTTAAGTAGACTCAAACCTGTATCAAATATGTTAGAATTCTTTATAAATACTAATAATTTTAGAGTTAAATATGAAAAAGAAGACTTGTGAACTGAGCTATATGGTTTATGTTAAGACTCCTGCTTAGTTGCCGCGGTCATGTTGGAATCGTGATGTCAGAAATGAGAAATGACATGTCAATTTATGTTACGTGTCATTTGTAAATGAAGACAATTTGAATAAATCTAAATGACGAGATCGCTTTCCTCTCTACTCTATACTAATTTGGTCAATGTAATGACTCACTAATTCGGCACTCTTTTGCATGGCGCGCATACTCTCGCACTATGTCTTTACCGTTACAGAAACTATACGAAAACCATATCAGCATATTAATTAGGGAATGGAAGTAACAATAATAAGTTATTTGTGACGTTATTCCTTTCCTTATCGTTATTCTGTTATAACGATTTGGCTATGATGAATTTTTTGACTGTAACAGGGTTGGAAAGTCACTCAATCGTAACAAGTTGTAAAAGTTTATTACTAAAAAAATTAATTCAACATTTTTAATTTATTATTTTTTAGTTGTTACTTGTAATGAGGTAACGTTACTTGTTACACATTACTTTTTTCAGTAAATAAACGCATAATGATGTAAGTTACCTTTCAAAGTGACTTTCCCAACCTAAATGCAATCTCAACGTTTACTTAGTTATCATAGTTACAAAATTGCAACGTCGTTATCCAATTGTTATAAGTAACAAAAAAAAGTAATTAAATAGTAACTCTTTCATTCCCTGCAGCATATTTAACATTAGGATGTATACGCGGCATATTATAACAGAAATAATTCACTCGATTGCTTTTGACGAGTAACTGACGAAAATAGGATTAATAAACAAAATATTCATCAAAGAACGAAATATTATTGTTTTCGTTTACAGTTTCAGCTACGATAATACTTCTAGTATGCAACATTAATACTAAGTTAAAGTAAATTAATATATATTAGCATGTGACATCAGCTCACAAACCTTCTTTTTCATGATGTTTCAATTTTTTCATATGAGCTTGTTTACAATTTAAATTAAATAAAATTCTTATGTTTCATTGAATTAAAACCTTCGTATAAAGCAACCGTTACACTAGTTTACAAAAAAATTATTTTTTTAAAATTACTTTGGACTACGTATTATAGATTTTTGGACGCTGAAAACGGTAATTGCAATTGAAAAAAAATTTTAGCACATCAGAATTTTTTTTCAAGAATTTTTTCATAATTAAGATAATATGTAAAAAATAACTTTTTTGCGACATTTGACTTTTTTCTTTTATAGAAAGTTTAACATTATCTTAAAATTGTGATAAGAAATCATGAATACATTGTTCATCCCCTATAAAATGCATTTTTTACATGAACAGCTTATTTTTGTAGCCATGTTACGAAGGATTAAAGATAGGAGCTAAAGTTATTTTAAAACAAGAATGACGTGCATACATACACACGCACGCGCGTACACACATACAGAGAGAGGGGGGAAGGGAGAGAGAGTGAGTGTTTTATAAAACAGATATATTGCATATTACAGATTGCAGAATTGTAACAGACCAGAAAAATCGGAAAAAGTTGGGGAGATTGAAATTAATCACGGAAAACTGGGAAAAGTCAGGGGAAAATGTAAAAACATTTGGAATTTTAAAAGCTCACAATTTCTTTAAATTATTCCAATTCCAAATAATTTTAATAATTTTTTAAATATTATATCTGACATTCCTAGTCAAATACATTCAAAACTCACTTTAAACAATCAAAATTTATATTTTATTCATTATTTTTATTTGATCGCCCTTTTTCGTCATAACACTATTTTTTTTTTTGATCGCCCTTTTTCGTCATTGCACTTTTTTCAAATACTAATTTTTTGTTGGTTTGAATTTGCACCTATATAGTTTTATTATGCTATTGTAGTAAACTTCTTGTGTTGTTTTTAATAATAGGGGAGAGTGGTTTGAATCGGACCTATTTGCAGTTTTTATTCTCTATAAGGCATAAATAAAGCGTTTTCAGCGTCCAAAAATCTATAAGAGACATAATCCGTTTCAAAGTAATATTTTGCTGTAAAATTTGCAGTGTAAACTAGTATCATTTTGCAATACATTATTTTATTATAATTATTATAAATATTATAAATTTAAAACTTTCACACATAAATAAGAATAATACACAAAAAAATTTTAAATAAGAAATTTTTTATCGATATTTTTTATTTGATGAGGTAATGAGATAAAATAATTAATAAATAATCGATTAAAAAATTTTTGAAAGTTGCAAATATCACAAATAACAAATAAAATATTATATATTAAAAGATAATATCGTAAATCAAATATCAATTTTATACATTGATATTATATATTATAATTTTTATATTATTTTTTAAACTATTATAACAACTTTATTCTTAAAATTCGAATACTACTTATAAAATATTCTGTACAATAAAAATTACTTATAAGTATATGTTGAATTTTGCAGATACTTATAATTATTCAAAATTATAACTATAATAATTAATTTACAAATACAATATATGAAATACTATTTTTTATAAATATTATTTGAATCCTTAAAATTATATAAAATTTAATTATTTCACTCGAATTTTCAAGTACAAATTAAACCATATATTAAACTACATTTTATTCTTAGATACAAGTACTGTTACAAATATTTAAAATTTTATATGATATTTTTACTAGCACAATACTTTAGAAGCTGTGCTGCAAAGGGGAGAGAAGCTGGATGATCTAGTCTCTAAGTCGGAAGGACTCAGCGCTCAGTCGAAAGCGTTTTACAAGACCGCACGGAAAACTAATTCTTGCTGTAGTTTAGCTCCTTAGAATGTTTTTTCCTCTTTTTTTTTTTAGCAAGCTTTGCCGTTTAAATATTTCAATAAATGTAACTTTATAATCTCATTGTGGTATAGAAATGCAAATGAATATTTATATAAGAACTTATTTGGCGAACAAAAAAAAGACAATGGAGAGATACATAAAGTATCAATCTACTCAAATTTTTCGGTGGAACATGTACATTAATTTAACGAATTTTGGATTGAATAACGGGAATAAAGCAAACCACTGCCGGTTCTTCCCAGTTAAGCGGAATCTTTTATAAGAATGTTACATGCCTCTAGAATTTATTTACTCGTGAGAAATGGTCCTAAGAAATTGCATATGAGAATTACTTCTGAGATGAGTTTCGCGCGAGGAGAAACGACCAGAATTCCCAATGTTAAAGTATCGCCTTAAGCACATTCCGAATGTTACTTGTACTCTTTTTATGTGTGAAAAAAATGCAAGTGCAATTTGAGGTTGTTTATTATAACATTTATAACAGCCTCGTGGATGAATACATGCAATGCGATAATGATAATTGCAATTTGACGAACGATATATTTATGTTCAAACTATTAGGCTCCAGTCTAATATAATCAGCATGAAGTAATCAAAAAGTCTTTAACATAAATAAAATTTTTGTTACCGCTAGAAATAATTTTGTTTTGTAACCCTGCGATATTTTATAATTGTGTTGAAAAGTCATCCATATTGTATCTAAATTGGAAAATATTGCACCAGATTTTCCAAGATTATCTAACAATTTTTTAAACATTTATATGCAAAGTCTTCTTTAATTTGAATAACTGTATATATTATAAATTATCAAAATGATATCAATGTTAATTACATATTTCATCAAGTTAAAGATAAAATAGTTACGATTATTTGTTATTTGAACGTAAGTAAAGGTGTCTTGACAAAAAGAAAATATATTCTATGTACAATATTTAAGTGACAATTGTAATCTTTATACTATGTATGTGTTGAAAAGTATAATGAATTGGTAAATATATATCAATATATTTTTAAATATTAATGTTATTATCTATGATGTATTCATAAAAAGGAAATAATTTATACATATATAGTACAACTCACAATTGTGATGTAAATTTATTTAAACGTATTTTACACGAGCGTGATGTTTCTGACATTCTGGAGATTGTTTTCCACCCCCCCCCCCCCCCCCCCCCCTCTCTCTCTCTCTCTCTCTCTCTCTCTCTCTCTCTCTCTCTCTCTCTCTCTCGGCGAGAAAAGATCTAAAAGTCTACACTACATGCCTACGAGTCCTGTGAAGACGAGCCAATCGCAAGATGCAGCCGATCACATACATTGGCGCGCGATGGCAAACTGGTCGTAACGCCATCGTATGGAGCGTAAAAACAGAATTTGAGTTTGACAACGTGCGTGTATGTGGGAAGAGAGGATAAAGGAGGATGGTTATTTGCTTTTCTTTTGAAATTTTATTTCTGTAATGTAAAGGGTGTATTAAAGGTGGTAGAACTAACAAAGCAGTTTGGTACAGGAATTTGGTAGTATTCATATCGGGCAAAGACATAGAGAATGGACTGCGCGATCCCGTATCTAAGTAGTATCAAAATGTGTCGATGAAATTGAGAGAGAGGGTCCGTGAAAGACGGCCATCTCTATCTTTTACCACTCGATAGTGTAATGGAAGAGAGAATGAGAGGGAGATGGACCGTCTTCCACGGTCCCTCTTTCTCATCCCTATCGATCATTTTGACACACGGATCGCGCAGTCCATTCTCTATGTCTTTGATATCGGGTAATGATGGGCGATACATGCCAGCAGTATCGATATGTATTGAGGGACTTGGTGTCGATATTGCACTGAAACGAAATGAATGGGAACGCCGCCACTGATAAACATCGGCAGCAGAATATTGATTCACCAACATCAATACGCTATGTGAAAAATTTTTTTACATAAATGTCGATTGCAAACTGCTTTTAAAGTTTAAAGGCGATTTCTAATTGATATTCTTGCAAAAAATATCGTTTTTTTCTTATTAAATAATTAACATAGTATAACTTTTTACATAGATTTATTCAGAGTTGTGCATCTACGCGTAAATTATAATATTCTACGTTCACGTATAGACAATGTAAACCACTGTATAAGATGTCATATATGTAGACAATAAACTGATAGGGTAGGTTTTTATGATCTGAGAAAAAAATTTAATAAACAGCATTGATTTTCAACGAAGTTGTAGCAATTTAAAGTTGCCCGAATCTCAGAAATTGATATTATAATCTATAATGTCTACAAAATATAGAACTGTATATATTACAATATTGTATATATATGTAAAATACATAATATAAAAAGTAATAAGAATATACTTTCCTTAATTTAATCCTTATAAAATCTTCATTAATAATTTACAAACGTTTCCTAAAAGAATTTCCTAAAGAATCTATATAGTTTATATTACGTACACTATAGATTTTTATAGTTTACATAGTCTATATAGTAAAAAGCCATGTAATCATCACGTATAGATTTCACGTAAATAATCCGTGTAGACGTAATCTTAAAATCTGCGGCACAATCCTGATACATTATTTCTGACCTATTGAAATGATCATCATGATATAAATCAATAAATCAACTATCACCGTTTTTATTACCATAAATGAAATTAAGAAAAACCTTCTATACTTATAATAATTAACCTTCGGAGGCTTCTTTAGGGACTCGACAGTGACTTTTTTGCTACTCAACCCTATGACATTAACAAAAAAATTCTAGTCCTTAAAATAAAAACGTCGACCAAAACTGTGCCGATTCTCAGAAGGTTAAAATGCCATTTACAAATAAAAGGATATGTAGCAAAAAGGTGAATGAGAAGTATATGTAACTGAATGCTGTATTTAATATAAAAAAGTAAGAGTCATAACAATATATAAGTATAGTTACAGATGAGAATTATGATGATCGGAATATGATAAGTTTAAATAAAGTTTGATAAAAATTTATAAAAGATTGTATTAAAACAAATTTTTTATCGTTTCCAGCATTCATAATTCATACTCGGTTTAATTGTTAATACAAATTTTATCAATAATTTTTACATTCTTAAATTAATTAACAAAATGTTATATAATAATTTAGCTTATGTTGTCGATTTCTATTAAGAGGATGCTGGAGCGACGGCTGAATTTGAACAAGGTCGACAGTATAGACTTTTTTAATTCCTAATTCAATAGTAGTGACATCGTTCATTCATTTTTTATGTCATGTTACATATCGTTGTATTTCATTCAAACACATTCATCTATCCTTATCTAACATATTGCAATGCCATCTGTTGCAAGATCGAGCGTCTATTATTAGAAACAATACTGCTTTGTTTACCATAGAGATTCTAAAGTTTACCATTCTGAGTCGTCGCTTAGCATTCATATATATATTTGCAGAGATCAATATAAATCTTTCTATTTAAATTTTTAATCTTAGTTTTATAGACTCAGTATTGTTCGTTCACATAATCCGCTTAGTGGTGCATTGTTATTTTGTCCATTCGAGTTACAAAACTTTTGTATTAAGAAAATATCTTCGTCAAGTGACAGCTCTTCGAGTAGAAAAAACGTAGGTTTTTAACTTTTTTTCGATTTTAGTACAAAATAAATTACCTAATTTTGTATCTACTTCAATCCTGTAAAAGGATTTTCTATTCCGTTCAGTAATCTGGAGATTTATATTGATCTGTAATGTAACTATAATTTGGCCACTCTAGCATCCTTAAGAAATTAAAATATATATATATGATATATAGGATGTCTGATAATTTCGTATCCACCTCTCCATCATGAGCAAGGCGATAGAGCATAGAATATATAGAAAAGTCTACCGTTTTATAATTTTTTTAATAATCACACACACACGCATGCATACAATAAGAAATTAATGAATATCTACAAATGAGCATGTATCCGCACGATGTATAAATGCAAGCCCATTTAGACATCTTGTATATAGTTAAGTTACAAAATGTGCGATTTGATTAATGACATGAATAACTTGTTGTGTACGTGTTGTTCATGAAAATTATAAATGAAAATTAAATTATGATATTAAGAGGATACTGGAGCGACAGCCGAACTTAATTAAGGTCGATAATACATACTTCTTTCCAAATTCGATAATAGTAGATAACATCTTTCATTCGTTTCTTATTATTAAGTTATATATCAGTGTCTCACTCAAACGTATCATCTATCCTTATTTAAATATTGCAACACCTTTCTCGTGAAATCGAGCAACTATACTGTCTGACGTAATTTATGGTTTGTTTATCGGCCTGAATTCGTTGAGCAACTAACCTAATATATGTGATTTGTAGATCAATGTAAATCATTTTTTTTTAGCTTTCATCAATCTCAGTTTTGTAAACTTAGTATTATTTGTGCATGTAATACGTTGGGTGGTACACTGTCGTTTCGTCCATACCAGCTATAAAACTTTTGTATTAAGGAAACATTTACGTCAGGTGACAGCTCTATGAGTAGAAAAAAGTGTAAGTTTTTAACTTTTTTCCGATTTTAGTACAAAATCCATAGCACCACCATCCAATTTTACGTCTACTTCAATCCTGTAAAAGTATTTTTAATTTCGTTTAATAAATTCGGAGATATTATTTTGATCTGCAATCTATCCTTAATTTGGTCACTCCGACATCCCCTTAATAAAACATGATTAAATATTCTTTGGAATCAAATGCAAATTTTATTGGAAATACACAAAATAGTAATATCTTTTATAATCTAAATTTTTTTTCTAATTTGACTTATCATTATTAATTTATTATCTTGTATATTCGCTTTATTAGTTTTATAAAGTTATTGAGCAGTGATTCCAGTGTATAATTGTTACAAAATGATTATTTTCGCTTTGCGATATTTAATTATAATACGTATATTATTTCTAAAATATAGAGCAACAGTCCTTACGAAAAAGAACGACTGCCGAGTGTAGTTATTATTGGGGTACTACTGTT